CGCTCCGCAGAAACACGGCTCGAAGATTTTACTGCTCGTCGCTGTCCGTTCTGCGGCATTAGGTGGCACGCGCATTAAGAAATATAAAGATGAAAATACTTAAAACTATTAATCCATTTACATTAGCACTATAGAAGTAATGAGTGTAAATCAATATGGGGGAAACTTTAGAGTCATAGATAGAGATCGGTAGATTTATACAGATTACAGTTAATAACTCAGCACGGAATAAGGTGATAGAATGTGGTGGAATTCATCCAGAAGCCGCCGCTCAAGTATAATTGCCGAAATTAAAGGCAAGGCTTTTCCCGGTACATTCAACGTAAGATTGGAGTAGAACTCATATTCGAAAGAGCTGGCAGCAATGGAACACGCACTAAAGACGCTACCAGTACTGAAACTATACATAATCACGCTACTAACGAGCAACAAAGCGGCCGTACTCACACTGGGGAGCCCATGATAGTCAGGCCAGGAACACGTTTACCTATTATATAAGTAGATAAGACTATGGTAGAACGTAAACCCGGTCAACACCTTTTGAATCTCTACTGGCGAGGATAATTAGGGCTGTTACGGATATTCGTAGCGGAGAATTATATGTAAGATTTTTTGGTTGAGATTAAAAACTGCGAATATTATTCGCAGGATCTGTTGAGAATCAGGGTTGCTGTGTCGAGTGTCGTGGTGACTGAGCCTTGCTGCAGGAAATGGGAACAAGTATATATCAGATTTCCCGCCTCTACAGAAAACAGATACTTAAGACAATCAATACAACTATCACTAATTTAAACATTAATACTTGCGAATATTCGTATTCGCAACAGCACTATTTTTCGAGGGTGGAGAACATTCACTAGATGTTCGTGCTGGATTAATCATTGTGACCATAAATTGACTGGCATCCCTGTGAGATCGGGTTCGAGGTGCCAGTTCGGTTAAATACTTTCCCCGAACATCGACCACCTGCGCAAGACTCAAAGTGGACATCGATAAGTCATGGGTCCTGTCAATCCACTCCTGAGCATTTCGGCAACCAAAGCTGGAAATCCATAAGTATGCCCCAAGTCTGCCTCCCTCGATCTGTTGCGTCTATACTTTTTCAAATCCATTAGATGATGTCTGATCTGAACTTCACCTCAGAAATATTTGAACGCTAAACCTGCCGCTCAAGGTGATCCCCACTTAGATGTAGCTTTAACAATCATGCTAATGCCTCTAACCCCGATCAGGTTGACCTATCCCAACCAAACGAATCGACGACCTCCCGCCGCTAGAGACCGAACCAATATTGTATACGCCGTATTAGTGATGATTCGAGAACTTTTCTTATAACGGTCGATAACCTTAGCCTGGACAGCGACCGATGCGTTTATAGGAAGAAGTCGTTAGACCCAACTCCGCCCTTACAAAAAAATAAAAAAAATTGAGATACAATGCAACCCGGCTAAGGGGCTCGATGTTAGTCCAAGAATATCCAGGTGATAATCCAGAAAAAACTCGAATATTCTTATTTGACAAACGGAATGGCGGTGGTTCTATTGCGAGTCCCTTAATGACCCGACCACTTTGTATTATCACTGCGAGCTCAACATGGAAGGAAGTCAATCCCGAGGACGATCACAGCTTTTAGAAAAAATGAAAAAGTATTGCTCGAGTGTTATGCCTCTGTCTGATGAGCTCCGATTCGCGGTTACTGGCCAGAGGCGGCGAAATAATGCGCTCAAGATAGTTCCGGCAAGGGCAATAAGTCTCGATCATGAACGTTCCAATATTCTAGATGAACAATATGCTTCGTCTGTATATACTAGCTCCGACCGCACTGATTCGAAGTTTGCGCCATCTCCATTGATAGCCCTGCAGGAAGACGTCGACCGTCAACTCGATCTCAAGCTCAATGGGGGGCAATTTCGGATCTAAGCCTTCGTGACAATTCTTCGGATTCTAATAAAGATTCAGCGCTAAAGAGTAGAAGCGTCGCTCCGTTCAAATGGCCTTGTCTTCCTTATCCTCATTCGTATAACGATCAGTACGCCAAACAGGCTCTGGACATGTTACAAGCGATCAGAGCAAACACTATTGCGCACGATTTTATAACAACTATGATTACTTGGCCTGCAGCAGGGCGGCCTGCTGGATAAGTATTGCTCGAATGTAACACTCCATCAGAAAAGGAAAGATGACGGTCGGCATCTTATCATCACCCAGTTTTTTGCCAAGCAGTTTTAAGTAGCAGCTTGATAATTATATCGACAACTGTATATCTATAGAAGACTGTGTAGCAACCGGGCCGTCATTCAAGATCACTTGTGCTGCGTATGGGTATATTGCTATCAGCAAAGGAACTACATGTCTCTAGAAGGAAGTGGCGCACGAGGCAGATATCTGTTGGATTCTCTTCCAAGTACCGGGCTAGATGGTTCTAGTGTTTCTTGGAACGATCGACTCAGACAAAATTTATTTCTTTCATGAGGCCGGAGACTTACGGCCTGCAGAGGCATGCCAATCGAAAAAATTCACATCCAATATCTTAGTATCTAGTAATGTAGTACATTGTCTTAAATTCTTCCGTCAGGATATTTAAGCGGATAGTATCCTGTGCAATGCTAGAACGATTTCGGATTATTGAATTTTATCGTTCCGAATTAGATTGCCGACCTATGAGAAAGCGGGTGAGACTATCCTAAAATTCATGTGGCCGGGCAAATAGACGTAACCGGAAACTTGTATAGTTTCACGGATGAAAGAAAGCATATTGAAAAAGTTAAATAATGCTGGGTTCTCAGTCTTCAGGTCTTGGTCCAAAAACAAACGGCTTAACTGTCATAAATTATGGTCGGTGTAGATTCGATAGCGCAACACGTCTGCTGGGAAGATCAAAAGAAACGAGGTGTTAACCAGGCGGTGCGTCGCGGGCTCGTGCAGTCGAGACTGGGCTAGACTCAAAAGAGGCGTCACCACGTAGGATAATCTGAGCATGTACCTGAAAAGCCCTGTAATGGTTTTCAAGGACTGATACACTCAGCTATACGCACATAGATTTGTTGTCGTGGTTACCTGCATATCGCTTTGGCGACGGTTCAGGGTAAATGAATCTAGAATGATTAAACCTGGCTATTTTAATTAATGTAGGTTGACGTAAGTGAAATGAGGGTCGCCGTCTAAATGTTTTGTAGTGTTTGGGTCAGAACACACTCGGCCTGGCTTTCTTTCCCCACCGCCCCCTCCCCCCCCAAGGGGAAAATATGGATGCCGCCTAAACAACAAAGAAATTAGAATTGACGACTCACGTTGACCAGTGACAGTGACGAAGTGTAGCGTGCTACATAGGGATTTTTGTTCTGCTAGCTATCGGGCTAACCTAGGCGATTAGGCGATGCTACCTTTTGAAGAGGCTGTCATGGACTAGTTACACTAGTCCCTAGCGAGACCTACCCCAAAACGGCTACAAACGATGCTGTGAGACAAAAAGAACTGGTTCGCGCATATTTTCGCGCGGATGGGCGTTTGAAACACGAAGTCACACGTTATGGATTGTGCGATGACAGCAAGGCCAAAGAAATGCCTTTGAGAGACAATCGACAGCATCATCTGCTTCTATTTAATGTGTTCTAATGGTCCTTTGGTCTAAAGCATCGGTAGTCCTATATACAGTTGGAATCCATCTTTTATGTCAAATGATCACCTCTTCATTTTCACCTTCTATAGATTTTCCCATGCCTACAAAGAACCTCGACAATACGAAATCCGTCATGGCGGCCTCCGATTACTTAAAAAGATTGCACAAAGCTCAAGATACCTTTAATTCGGTATAAAAGCACTCTCGGGTCAACATAATTTTATACGTTTCCATGACGCTCATCTAAATTTGTTATAAGATCCCGGTCTATTCCTGCGAGATAGAACATTGACGCGACGTGGTAGCCATTCGCCTTCAATGTAAGACGATAAAGAGTCCCCGTCCATATATGAGCTATGGAAAGAGGTACATCAAGGGTTAAAAGGCCAGAAGCCTATACTTGAGGGTTCTCTTCAACGGGAAAAAATGATACACGCTCTCCTTAACAACCTGACGGAAAGAGTAGGCGTCCTTGAGGACTCCAATAAAGAGTTAGCTCAGACGATTAAAAAGATGTCTAAAGATATGGGTATCAATAAGGGATAGAGCTAAGGTAGATCTCATCATACAGACAGTTTTCTTCGCGAAACAGGCTGTTTTTACAAAAAGATATTATTGCTGTTGAGACAGATCTAGCAGCACACAGCTCTAATAATGTAAACGTAAAATTATCATTGTGTAGAGTCATCAGAAGTGTCATTGAATTATTTTTGAAATGGAAGCGACGATGATATATACTAAGGGCTAGAAAGAAAGATGGACCTGATAAAAAGAAGCAGAATTCAGCTAATCGGCAGCTCTAGTTATCTTATTTTTTCGGTGAATTTCTTCGCCCCTTCACGCCAGCGGTCACATTAATAGGTATGTTCTGAGAAGATTTAGACAAGAGTCGGAAACCTTGTTCATATCGTTTTTTAAATTCGGAGGTGGTTTCGCTTAATATTTCGTCATTAGGAGTGTACGGCGGGCTGTCTTGTGAAGAAGGGCGCAGAGTATTTCTTAGGTTGATACTTGTAAAATCTCTTGATAATTGTTGGAGAGAAACATCGCTAAGATGGCCTTCAATCTGTCTCGATCTCCAATTGATTCCTTGATTTTTACTGTGGATAATTGTGTCGTTTGTCGAAATCATGAATTGTACGGCGTCACCGGTGGCATAATTATCAATCTTGCTGATATTCTTCTTTAAGTGATCGTCTGCCCTGGAGCAGATATCCATGCACTGACGGGCTGTCTTCCACTCTTCTCGCAGCCTAGCAAGGTCGGCAAGTTCCTCGTCGGATAACATATTCACTCGTGATTTTGCCAATAATTTGTCCATGAGATCCTTCATGTGTCCTTCAAGCTTCGCAGCAGTGAGAGTCAATCTCTTTTTACAGTCCTATAAACTCTCGCTCGTGACTCTTTCGGGCAAGGAATGGAAATCGAGCGGTCCGGGAGCACTGTTACCGGATTCACTTGTGGCCTGGATTTGGCTAATATGGTTGGACAACTGGGTACAGATTTGCAGGCATTTTTCCGTGCTTAGTCGTTCCTCTTCGATTAGACGTAGCTCAGATGCATCTGAGTTGGGTCCTGCAACAGTCTTCCGAAATATATGCTCAAGCTTTCCATCGATGGTTTCAAGATGAGCCTCAAGATCTGCTTTGACTGTTACGATAAGATCTTCGTAATCCTTGAGACTTTCGGCCGTGACAGATGACTTGCGACTGACAAAGTTAATCAGCTGGATAAGAGAGGGCATTTTAGATGCTGCAATTCACGACCCGAGACTATATGCACAATATATAGTCAACAACTAACCATCCGCCTCGGTAGTACCTAGCATCCAAATACCGACATCAACATCCGAACGGCAGACCACAACCCGGCCAAGAATGCGGACAAGAGGCCGATTCCCCTCGCATCCTTCTCGGATAGGCCGCCATCTGGTGGAAGTGTCGCAGTGTCGCAGAAGACCAGTATCGCACTAGACCCCACGTAGCAGGTCGACCCATCGTGAAGATCAAAGGATGCCCCACGCTGTCGATTTCTACGCGGGGCTCCGCGTCCTGCTCCTGTCCCTGCCGCCAGCAGGTCTAATCATGATTTCCATTTCAGCGCTCCTGTGCTGGCTGACCCTGGCCCTGCCCGTGCTAGCCACCCGGCCTTGCTATAACCTTGACGGCACTCAGGCCAAAAGCCGATGTTCCTTGCCGCCAGGATGAGACCTCGAATTGCTGCAACACAAACGATGCCTGCATGTCCAACGGCCTTTGCGATCTGCAAGGGAAACGTGGCTTGAGGCTCCCCCGCGTGGAACCCTCTACCGGCACACCCCCCGTTCAGGTTCATGTTCAGGTTACGTCAGCATTCACCGTCCCAGCCGCCCCTGAGGCAGCTATGCGGCAGGTGTCCTAACTAAACTGGCCCTCTCAGGCTTATGTACATCGCTTCTGTCTTGCTTATTTGTGCTTCCGTCTACGATTAGGGACTCAAAGCTCCGCTAGCGTTCTATGTTAACGCTCCTAAATTGGCCCAGGAGCTTGGTCGCCAGCATGAATGTAGCGGCTCCCGCCGCCCGTTTCCCGTCCGTGAGGACGGCCTTCAGATCGCACGACCATATCTCCTCTCGCCTCCAGGCCTGTCGTTCCTCCCGGAACATCGGACACGCGAAGAGGATGTCCGCTATCGATATCCGGGATTCTCCGGCTGTAGAGGAAATGTCGCAGTCCGATATGTCCGGTTCGCATCTGGGTGACTACTGTTGAGAGGGGCTTGGTCAGACTGGCGTGGAGTTCCTCCGTTTTCTTGGTGGGTGTGTTCACGATCCGGAATAGTGCTCGGTTCCGGGTGTCCGCTTGCCACTGTCGCTCCTATTATCCATGTGCTTGCTGTTATAGCTTTCGCTTTAATACCGAGAGTGGCTGTTTGAGGTCGGCCAGACGGGAAGCCGTCATGTCAGTGTCGGTTTTCCTCGTCCGTCCTCGGGTATCCGTTACCTGTCTCCATCCCGTGGCCTCCTTGGCAGCCTGGTCCGCGAGTTCGTTGCCCTCGATCCCTTGGTGCGCGGGGATCCAGTGGATAGCAACGTGGATCTCTCTTTTCTGGAGTTCTCACATGTCTTGATAATCATCTGGAGGATCTGTTATCCTGTACGGTGGGGGCCGGTGATGGCCTTGATGGCTGCCTGGCTGTCAGAAAAGATGATTACATTGGTGCTGTCGTATTATTGTGCGAGCTGCATCGCCATTTAAATTCTCACGAGCTCTACTGTGAAGACCGTGGCCTCCGTTTTCCAGCCTAGAAATATTTGTTTAGTTTGTCTTTACTCATGCTAGACCACAGCCGAGCCTATTCTATCATTAATGGCGCTCCCGTCTGTGTAAAAGACGAGTCCGGGTGTTGCGTTAGAGGATATGGTCATGGGCCCTACGGGCAACTTCTGCGTCTTCCCGGATGTGCGTTTCTGGTGGCGCCCACCAGGTCGGCGTGAGGTAGGGTCGTCGGCCTTCCAACTAATGGAGGATCTCTGTTCCTAACAGTCCCTCGCATCGATGTTTGTGTCGTTCTAACGGTCCCCATCGGCTGGGAAGGTCCTTCTAATAGTTACGGTACCCCGTCCAGAGGCCCTCGTCTCAAATTTATTCGAGGGTGTTGTGGAAGGGTATCGTTCGGATTCGGAGATATATCTCGGTGATGATTCTCTCGAGATATAGTCGGAGCGGTAGGAGATATGCCTCGATATCTAGTGCTGATCCGGACACATTACGGAACGCTCCCGTGATAATCCGGGCCGCCTTTTTCTGAATAGTCTCGAGTTTTCGGATAGCCTTTATTCGATATCCGTCTCCTGCTGCGGCCGGTGCGAACCAGACCGACGCTACATACGTGATCTACGGAAGAATGATGGCTTGGTAGATCTGGCGGAGCCCTTGATAACTGGTTCCCCATATTAAGCCGCCTAGGCTGTTGAGTGCCGCCAGCGACTTTGTGGTCTTGGCTTCGATGTGATCCATGTGGCTGTTCCAGTTAAGCCGACTGTCCAGGATGAGCCCAAGGACTCTACACTTTGCGACCGGAGTCACCTCCTTACCGTCTAGACAGATCGACATGTTTAGGTTCATATCTCTCATGGTTTTATCCGCCAGGTAAATGAGGCTGAACTTGGCGGGGTTGAATTAAGACGCGTGTTTCATTTCCCACTCTCTACATCTTTCATAGATGATTTCGAGATTCTTGCAATTTTCTTCCGCAGATGTGCTCCAGGTAATAATGTTCACGTTGTCGACCCAGCCAACCGCCTCGGTGTGACGTGTCGGGCAGCAGTATGTGTCAATTAAGTCCGCGTTAAAGAACAGGTACAGTATCAGCGACATCGGGGATCCTTAAAAGATGCCGGTTTCAACGTTCATAAGTTCGGACGTCGCTTCAGGGAGTCGGATCGTGGTTTGCCGGTCACGGAGGAAACTTGTCACCCAGCGGACTACTCGAGGGTCGACTCTTCGTTTCCGGAGGTTATATGCGAGCCAGAGATAAAAGACATTCTTAAAGGCCCCTGATACGTCGAGTGAGAGAATAAAGACAATCTTCTTTTCTGCCTGGCCTTTGTGTTGCACGTTTATTTTCTCCAGCAGCCAGTGTAGCGCGTGATTCGTGGAGATACCTTTTCTTCCGCCAAGATAGTTTATGGGCAGCAGGGCATACCTCTCCACTAGCTCCGATAGCCGGCGGGCGACTACCTTTTCTAAAATCTTCCCGAGTGTGCTGAGCAGCGCGACCGGCTGGTAGGACTTCACCTGGATGTAGTCCTCCTTGCCGGGTTTACAGAGAGCCACCGTTTCTGCGACCCGAAAGTGCTGTGGGCAATATCCCAAGTCGATACATGCGTTGAAGAGGGGGGTAAGTATCGGCATAAGGACTTCTCCCAGGAGCTTTAGGGCGAGGTTAGATATGCCATCCAGACCGGGGGCTTTCCGTGTGGCCACCGTCCTAATGGTGGCCCGTACTTCTTACTATATGAACAGCGGCCATTCGACCGGAGTGGGGTAGTCGTATTCCTGCAAGTCAGAGAGGTCCGCGTCTTTGGTTTATGGGAAGAAGCTGTCTTTAAGCAGCCGTATCTTATCTTCTAGTTCTGGTCTCAGCCGTCCTTGCCCATCTCGTAACGGAGGGATAAATAATTGGCGCTGCTCTCGATTTTTTACCCATTTAACTAGTTTCCAGAGTCCCTGGGGTGACCGGGTGGCCTCCTGGACTCGTTCTCGGTGGTTCCTTCGCAGCAGTTGTGGCTCGCTCGGGTGCCGATTACGTTAACTAAGACGATCATCGCCTTGCTCGGCAGCGAAATTGCGGTATTGCGTATTCTGCAATATTGCAATATGAAGCTATAGAATAGCGGTCAAAATAAGCGATTCTATCATTATAAATAGACCTCTTAGCTAGCCAGAAAGGAGGTCTTCAACACCTTCAATCCGCTCGTTTGATATAGCCAATTCAATTACTTCATTCGACCGTTTTAGTGATCCAATCCATCCGGATCCTTAGTCATTCTGCTTGCCAAGCCTTCGCCCTTCCACAGATTTTCTTTCAGCTTGGCTGTGTCTACCCCGCCATAGATATTACCGCATAGCCCTACCCCCTTTTCCTTTTTCAAATCCCACCCGGAACAATACTGTAAAAAGCATTCCTTTGTCTGTGAGGCACATTATGTGTAAAAATTGGTCATGGGCTGGCGCGGGAAACTAGCAGCCGTAGTCTACACTGTACGTTTCCCACGTTCTTTGTCTCCTCTAACAGGATCCTGGATCAATAATATTAGTTTTCCAAATCTATCGGCCCTAGCGCAGTTCAATTGGCTGGAAACAGGTGAAGCGGAAGCGAATTCAGCCATGTCTGGACTAGTCCGGAACGATCAATCCATTAACGGACGCGTTAGACTTTGTGGTCTGGAAGGGTTTCCTTGTGGCCGCGGGAGTTGACTAAGCCGGCATTTCATCGCCTTGCTCAGCCGAAATAATCGACCAGTCAATTATTCAACATAATTGCTTCTTCCTGTTGAGTTGATTGATCATCATTTTGAAGCTCCAGGGATTGCATAAATACGAGCTATATCGCATAGTTAGAATATCAAGACCTTCAATCGAATCCGTGGAGATCACGTAATTCAGTGCTTTAGTCATCTCTGCCAAGCCTCCAAACTGCCATATTCCTTTATCTGTTTGGTGCCCGCAGGAGGCATTGAGCCACAACCCTTGACAGGGAGAAAGGTGACGGACCGAACCAATCGCGTCTGGGCTTGGCGACCCACTCAGCGCCACTCCATGAGACCGTTCATTGGCGTCGCTGATCTGAGGCTTTGAATGACTCGAGTACCTAGTCGAGCTGGCGTTTAGTCGCTCTCTAGGGGGCTAATTTAAAACCTCACTCCCCTCAACCCTTCTCCAGTAGACGTCCCATTCTCCATGTTTCATTGGCAACTGTACCTTTTTGAAGATGGACTCCTGTCCTGACTCCTGTCTTCAAGAAGTCTCAGATGTCGGTTGCAATTCGATCCTGGCGGATTGCGGTAAAACGCTCCGCGCTCAATTTTCTCCTACGCAGCAAAGGCTGGAGTTAACACTCGAGCTATCGCAGTCACTTGTAGCTGTTATCGAGGGCGATAATAGCCTTGCGCGACATTTTGGTGTTCCTCTGGCTAGTGACTCTATGGCAGGAAAGATTGACCAATTATTTGGCCAACTTCAACTTATAAAAGACGATGAAAGGGAAATTGACAATGGTATTTGCTGGCTCGATATTATCCTCGCTCCTTCATATAAGCCAGTGCGTCGGGAAGATGGCTATTATTACTTACGGCTTGATGGACGCAGTGGATTGATTCGAGTGTCGGAAGCAGATTACAACTTTATCGAGTCTGGCCTTCCCCAAAAGCTCATTAATCCATGCTCATATCCAAGCTATCTACAATCCGAGGCAGAGACGACGCGGCTAGTCGAGCGGTTGTTATTAAGTTCAAACGAACTTGCCTCACAGAGTGAGTATCCTCTTCAATCATCGGTTGCTATACCTCATGCTTTTAGCTTTACATATCAATTTGGATGTAGTCATCGACATGAACAACGAATGCCACGCAAAAATGGGCCAAAGGCTTAGGGCTCTTACACAACTTCCCGGTAACTACTCTGCAAACACTCGGCAGATCCACGATAAATCGAATCATGTAGACCTGCAGTTTACTGAGCCTCCAGAACCGGCGACACCAAAAGGAGTCCGAAAACGCAAGCGTAGGTCAGCGTTTCCGAAAACCTTAGTTATGAAAACAACCTGATATTTTTCGTTAGCGCCTTCTATTATGCCTCCATGGGAGCCGGAGGAACTGGATCGTTTACCCCGGTGGTTCCAGGATAACAGGCATCTAACGAAGGAACAAGTCGAGGCTAAATTCGAAAAGGACTTTGGTATATCTCGAACTTTTGGTGCGATCACGACCGCACAATATCGGGCAAGAAATGGGCATGGAGCGCGTCATGTAGGTTTGAAACGGAAACTCCACTCCGATGATTCCCTATCACCATCAACGGCCATTGAATCCGCCCATGTTACAATACCCGACCGCATCGAGCCATTCTTATCGGCGTCCGATTCAGGTCCCAGACCTTCCGTTTCCTTTTTGGCTCCTGTCAGAAGCCTCGGCAATCTGGGAACATCGAACAGTGGAACCACTGAGGAGCAGTCTACCGAATCGTCCCACGAAACCACACACTTCGAA